AAAATATTTCAGGAGCCCAGTTCATTACAATATTTCTCAGGACCGGTGACTAATTATTATGTTGTTGTAAATTAGGGAGCATGGCTTTCTCTGGCAACCGAATGTCAAGATAACAACCTAATAATACTCACTGGGGATCTAAATAGTGTGGTCTGGGCCCTGCAGATCCATTTACCACCGCTGGCAGTTCTTCCTCCTTAAGGGTGATCTTTGGACAGACTTGAATGGGACAAAATGGCTATCCAGAGTCCAGCCAAAAGAGCCAGGCTGGAGGAAGCAGAGAAGGTTGCTATTAAAATCAGCAACATTCACAGGAGATTGGATCACTTGCTTTCTTCAGTAAGCACAAAGAGTAGAGCTTTGGCTGTAAATTTTTTTGGTTGGTTATTTTTTTTTTTTTCTGCCAGCTCCTAATGACAATCTCTCCATGCTGTTTGAAAGATCATTCTTCCTGTCCTTGCATATCACACAGAATTACTCAGCAAGGAGCAGGGCAGAAAACAGAAGGTTACCTGAGAGTCTGCACACCAGCCAGGGAGCTGCCACGTCCCTTTTCCCTGCTTGGCAGCCGGGAACTCTGACAGTGAGGCCCATTCCTCCAGCTGTGAAGCTGAAGAGACTAAAGGCTCAAAAGAAAAGGTGTCTAGGAAGCAACTGTTTGGGGATCTCCCAGTGAGACAGCCAGATCCACACCTGTTCATTTTTAATTTGTTCACTCAACAGGTATTTATCAAGTGCTTACTCTCTGCCAAGCAGTCTTGATGCTGCAGATAGAGCAGTAAATAAAATAGATGCCAATCCCTGACCTCAAGAAAGTTATATTCTAGTAGTGAAGAGACTGTAAACTAAACTATAGAATATATTAATAGATAGACTGGTTGTGTTGGCTCACACCTGTAATCCTAGCACTTTGGGAAGCCAAGGCAGGCAGATCACTTGAGCTTAGGAGTTTGAGACCAGCCTGGGCAACAAGATGAAACCCGGTCTCTACCAAAAAAAACACAAAAAATTAGGTGAGCCTCCGTGGAGCGTGCATCTGTGGTCCCAGCTACTCTGGAGGTTGATGTGGGAGGATCGCTTGAACCCAGGAGGCAGAGGTTGCAATGAGCTGAGACCGCACCACTGCACTCCAACCTGGATGACAGATTAAGACCTCCATCTCAAAAAAAAAAAAAAAAAAGATAAATGCTATAGAGAAAAATAAATCAAAAAAGAGGGATAGGGAATGCTAACTGAGAGTGGAAGGGAGGGTGTCAGTTTTAGGTGGGGGCATGGGGGAGCCCTTGCTGAGAAGGTGACATTTGAACAAAGACTATCTATGGTGACACTGGCAGTTGCCAAGCCTAATCTATGCACACAAGTCTTCCAATCGGTTTTTTAGTGCCTCATTCTTTAAATATTTACAGATAGTCAGATCTTCAGACATTTGAGAAGGCTTTCAAATGTAAAACAGAGAAAGAACATTGGGATTCAGAGGAAAAAGAATAAAAAAGAGAAAGACTCAGTTTGCTAATTTTCTTTCCATAGTCATTCTCCCCTTCTTTTGATACAGATCTCCTAACTCCTATAGACTATAAACCTCCTATAGAGTTTTGATGAGTTTTAGTTGGGCAAGAGGCTTCCTAGGCAGGGTCTCCTCTGCCTAGCCTGTCCTGCAGCTGGTGGGGCTATAAAACTAAGTTCTGGCCAATGGGATGCCAGCAAAGTGGTACATATGAACCCTGGGTCAGTGGGAGCAAATGCCACCTGCCTGCCTCTGGACTTTTTTGATAAAGATGCCTCTGTTAAGCATTACCTCTTTGTTATAGCAGCCTAGCATGTATTCTAACTCATACATGTGGGTCACAGGGAAGAGGAGATCCAACATAGGAGAGACAAAGGGAATCCCCAGAGTGACAGTGAAGGGAGATCCCAGATAGAGAACTCTGCCTGCTTTAGGGACAGAGGGCACCAGACCAGATGGGAGCAGTGTAATTTTCCATGTTGAGGGCTCTCTGTTGTTGTATAGTTTTAACTTGAGGACAGAAAGCTGAAATGGGCCTGAAGCAGATCTTTACCTGTACTTGGCATGCCTGGTGCTGATGACATTTCTGTTCTGTTTGCTACACAGCTGGCCAGCTGAGGTGGTGTGGGTGTGCTTTGACGGCCTCCTGAAAGCTGGGGGCAGAGCCACGCTGAGCTTAGAAGCAGAAAATGCAGAGCAGCCCTTTGCCATTGACCATCTTTCCGGGGGACACCCTGTGCTTGGTTCACCCTGATTGTGGGATGCTCTGTGTTTCCAAGGACTCACTCAGCAGCACTTCTGCTTCCCCAGAAGGGGCTCTGGAAAACCTGCAAGGGACACTGAAGCCAGTCTATAACTCAGTCAGTGTTCAGTTTATCCCTTCTTGGGATTGTTTTTCTAACTCTGATGGTGCCCTTTTCTTACACAGCTGGATTGGTGGTGGTTTTCAAAAGTGTATTGTTTAGAGATATTATAAGGAGTAAAACTATGAAGTATCAGAATGACTACAACAAAAATGAACTAGAAGTTCCCTCTATGGAGGGATGGAGAGAGGGGATACTCTTGGGAGGGGCACATGACCGTGTAAGGTACTTTATCAGGACCTTTAGCAGGATCTGGGTTTGAGGCAGGTAGAACAGGAAAGACTTTTGGTACTATTTGGTGTTTTAAACCATATGCATACATTGCTTTGATAAAAGAGCTCTTCTGTGCTGGGGACTTGGTTTCCGTAGTTAAGTCTAGGTTCTTGCCTTTGGGTAATTCTGAATTTGGCAAGAGACCAATACAGATGATTAACTACAACATAGCCTATAAGAGCTGAAGACTATCTACATGCACAGTGTTCTAGGATTCCAGAACAGGGAACGATGATTTTGTCAAAAGGCCATTCGAGGAAAGAGAAAATATAGGGGAAAGAGTCTATAAATCAGGCCTTGAACAAGGAGGAATTTCAAAGTAAATCAAGGGAGAAGAAAAGCCATCTGAGGAGAAAGAAACAAAATGAACACAGACAAAGAAGTGTGAAAGGGCAGGCAAGTGGTCCTGCATGGATCAGGCACTGTGTGTAACCTCCGGGGGTGGCATTCATATTGTGCAGTGTGTAACACGAACAATCATCCATAGCAATCCTGGTTGAAGGGAGTGGTTAGGCGAGAAGTACAAGTGCCTTAAGTGGGAAATGGAAAAAAGGAATATGAAATGAAAAGGATTATTTTTAAAGATATATTTTATTGCCGGGCGCGGTAGCTCACGCCTGTAATCCCAGCACTTTGGGAGGCTGAGGCGGGTGAATCACGAGGTCAAGAGATCGAGACCATCCCAGTCAACATGGTGAAACCTCGTCTCTACTAAAAATACAAAAAATTAGCTGGGCATGGTGGCACGTGCCTGTAATCCCAGCTACTCAGGAGGCTGAGGCAGGAGAATTGCCTGAACCCAGGGGGCGGAGGTTGCAGTGAGCCGAGATCGCGCCATTGCACTCCAGCCTGGGTAACAAGAGTGAAACTCCGTCTCAAAAAAAAAAAAAAAAATATATATATATATATATATTTTATTGTACTTTAGGTTCTAGGGTTAATGTGAAGAACATGCAGGATTGTTGCATAGGTACATACATGGCAATGTGGTTTGCTGCCTCTATCCCCATCACCTATATCTGGCATCTCTCCCCATATTATCGCTTCCCAACTCCCTACCCACCCCGCTGTCCCTCCCCTAGTCCCACCCGACAGACCCCAGTGTGTGATGCTCCCTCCCTGTGTCCATGTGTTCTAATTGTTCAACACTCACCTATGAGTGGGAACATGCGGTGTTTGATTTTCTGTTCTCGTGTCAGTTTGCTGAGAATGATGGTTTCCAGATTCATCCATGTCCCTACAAAGGACACGAACTCATCATTTTTTATGGCTGCATAGACAATTATTAAACCCTAAGAATTATTCAGTAAGCTGGAGCTGGCATTTCAATATGAAATTTCAAAATTATATGAACCATTTGTACTCAGTGAATGACAGCAGCACATGTCTTTATTTATAGCGGCAGGATTAAACAGACAGTTTTAAGTCAGTGGATTTCACATAACATTCCTTAATGTCTTGAGAAGAACATGGAAACAAATTGGACAAAAATCACTGAGTCATCTATAGGTATTTTTTTATTAGAAAAGAAATTAAGTGTTCTCACTAGGGACTGAAGAAGGGAATTAACAATCTTACAATTCTAGAGCAGCCAAACTTCATGATAAGGGAGTCTTCAGTTTTCAAAGTGTGTGGGGCTCTTTCACAGAGGTACTCTTGGGGTAGGGAGCTGTCAATTTTCTCAAATGTTTTACATTTTTGCTTTAGCTTTTGCTGGTACTCTAAATCAAATAGATACACAATGTTCAGGATTGTCAGGGATGGCCAGCTTAAATAACAGGGTGTTCCACATGCTCACAGCTTCTGCACTTGTGCCTCTGATCCATGTGACACCAAGACCAACTATGCTTAACTTTTCATGTGATTTCTCCAGTTGGGTCCTAGGATCATTTCCTATGAGATCTGTGAGAGGACAAGCTGGAGGACACTGGTTCAGAGCAGTGACTCTCAAGGTAGGATGGGACGGGGTGGGGTTGAGTGGAGAGTTGCATGTAGTTTGAATGAACACATTCGAAATACTCACTGATTTCATAATACAAACGCCATAAAGTCAAGCAGCAAAATGATTTCAGCTAATGCACAGTAGCAGAAAACCAACTATGGATTTCTCATTGTGGAGAAGGAGTCTGGATAAACATAGTTGAAAAACACTGGCTTAGAGGTAGAGGCATGCTGACACATGGAGAACAGTAAGAAATACGTGCCAGGCTGGGTGCGGTGGTTCACACCTGTAATCCCATCACTTTGGGAGGCTGAGGCGGGCGGATCACGAGGTCAGGAGATCAAGACCATCCTGGCCAACATGGTGAAACCCCATCTTTACTAAAATACAAAAAAAATTAGCCGGGTGTGGTGGCACACACCTGTAGTCCCAGCTACTCAGGAGGCTGAGGTAGGGGAATCGCTTAAACCCCAGCGGTGGAGGATGCCGTGAACAGAGATTGTGCCACTGCACTACAGCCTGGGTGACAGAGCAAGACTCCATCTCAAAAAAAAAAGAAAGAAATTCGTACCCAAGAGAAAGAACAATTGAGGATCAGTGAACGAATCCTAGCCCAGAACTTGTCACAGTCTCTGAAAACCAAAGAGCACATCTAGAAGAAAACAAAGATGGCCTGTCAATCTTCTTGGCACTGTGGCTAACAGCAAGTTGATCCACTTTTAAATACTGAGCCGAAAGAAGAAAAAAGCTGTTTATGCTCCCAAATTCATCCACTAGGAAATGCTGTCATCATTTGCAATGCCATCCAGTTCTTGACGGGGGACATCAGCGTGGAACCTGCTCTGCCAGGAAAGAAAGAATGGGATATCTCCTTGTAAGGCAAAATTCTTCCTTTCTCTCATTACCAGAACACTTAACTCCTGCCATTTAAACACACACTGTTGCAGATGGCCTTGAGATGCAGCTGTCAGTAAAATACTGACAGCATAGAACGCTGAAGGAAAAGGCCAAATGCAAGTAAGGAGACTTTCTGAATATGGGGAACTCTAATAATGCCCACACCAAAATAGAAGCAGTTGGAGAAATGACATTTCCCATCTTCTTCCATTCTTAATCGAACCCTAAATTGCTAAACATGTCCCAGAAAAGAAAACCTTTGGTAACACCATTAATTGGTCTTGAGAGCTTTTAGTACTGGTGGTAAGGCCAGGAAGTGAATTCAGACAGACATAGGGTTCACCTGCTGTGATGATGTTGTAGAATTATGAAAAGATTTATAGCACTATTTCATTTCAGGGAACTCAAGTTGTATTTTTTCAGACCTTTTTCCTCCTTCTGTTGCTATGCAGAGTAACCATCACAAATTACGTATACTCATTGACCAAGAGATGAGTTATTGATTAGCAGGCAATAGATATCACTCCAAGAACACTTTGGTTAAAGAATCATTCATTTCTCCCTCAACTAAAGCAGCACTTGCATCTCTCTGTATACAGGTCTCTGAATCAGCCTGCTTGGGGGCTAGCTAGCGCTAGCTGTGCTGGGGATCTGGGGGAGGGAGGAGCTCAGATTCCAAAACCATCATGATTCTGTTCTAAAATGTTCATTACCCTGTGGTTTTCTACGGAGCCAAAGATCTTTAGGTTACTGATTTTAGAAAACTTTTGTTTTGGCTTTTGGGAAGCCAATTAAACAGAGTTGATTTGTCAAGTGAACACAGGTAAAGCCAAAATGACATCAGTTTCACATTGCATTTATAATAAATCCAAATTGCTTACCACGGCCTGGGTGCTCTGGCCCCTGCCCACATTTCCCACTATTCTTCCTTCTCACTGCACTTCACTCACTCTATTCCTGCTTTCTTTCTGTTCCACAAGCATCCCTTACCTGTTGCCACCTTGGAGCCTTTGCACTTGTATTTCCTCCGCCTGAAAAGCTCTTCTGCTTCATCTCTACATAGCGGTCTCCTTGTCAACTAGGTCTCAGCTCAACCCTTCCTGAGCTGAGAAAGGCCCTTCCTTACCATGTTAGCTCAATTTTCTCCCCACCCCCTGACATCTTCTGTTCTGTTCTGTTTCAGGATTTACTTGTTTCTGATCGGTCTACCTCTCTAGAAAAGAAGTTCCAGGTTGTCATTTTATGCATCATTATATTCCCATGCTCAATAAATATTTGCTAAATGAAGGTTGAGTGAAAGGATTTCTTCCATTGACACAATCTCTTTGTCAAGTGTGAAATTCATAAGCAATTGACATCACTGTTCCTCAACCCACCCCAAATCATTCTTTCCCTAGCTAGAATACTGTCCCACAATATAACAAACCATGGCAGAAGAATTCCACGGTCTCCCCTGTTCCCGGCCCAGCAGCTCACCTGCCACTCACCTGTGGTTACTGCAGAGCTCCAATCTGCTTTAGCCGCGTCAGCAGCTCCCCACTCTCCTGCATGCTCACTAGATCACTGCATCCGCCTATGCAATCCTTACCGATAAAGACTCGAGGCACCTAAAAAAGCACATGACCCAGCACATTACAAGAAGATTAGAAAGAACATTTCTATCCTTCATGAAATGTTTCCTGTGATTCCAAACTTTTCAAATCACTTTACAACCTGCTCATTGTATATGCTTACAGGGCAGGGCTTCCTTGATGTTATAAGAGGTAACATTATTAACTCAAGAATGCTTTTAAGACAGAAGAATTTTCAAGTTGAGTATGCTATGCATGAGCTTGTCTATCTTGTCAAAGGGATCTAAAAATTTCACTCTACAGAAACCTGTTTCAGAGGGAGAATTTTGATTGGCTGGAATCAGACCACCCAGATTTACCTCTGCTTTCTCTGCAACAGAGACCACACCTAAGATTGTAAACTGGGCCGCAGCAATCAGGAAGGAGGGAGTTCATTTCTAAATACAGCTGGAAAAGTAATTGCATTAGGTCTCTGATTTTTCAGGTCCATGGTTTATTAAATACAATTATCTCTGTGTTGTTAAAACACAGGTGAGGGTCAGGCACCGTGGCTCACCACTGTAATCCTAACACTTTGGGAGGCTGAGGTTGAGAGGGTCACTTGAGCCCAGGACTTCAAGACCAGCCTAGGCAACATAGTGAGACCCTGTCTCTACAAAAAAAAAAAAATACAAAAATTAGCCAGGCATGGCAGTGCATGCCTGTAGTCGCAGCTACTCAGAAAGCTGAAGTGGAAGGATTGCTTTGACTCAGGAGGTCGAGGCTGCAGTAAGCTGTGATGGTGCCATTGTACTCACACCTGGGTGACAGAGCAAAACTAACAAAACACAGGTGAGCCCTGTCCTCAGCCAGGTGGGCGTAGTGGTATTTGAGTCTCCTTTTATCACTGGTTCATCATAAGATGGTTAAGTCACCCTGGATGTGGGTGAGTCACCCACTCCAAGCCATAGTCATGACACTTGCTGAATAGGCTCCTCTCTAGTACAAGCTTCCTCCCTGCTGCTAGGAGCAGACACATTCCAGAATTCCAGAGGGCTTTTAGACTCTTGAGGGAGGAGGAAATCCCCTCAACGTGGCTGAATTCCAGGCCAAGGGTGTTTCACTAAGGCTGCCTGGCAGTGACGAGACAAGCACCATGGAGGTCACCACGTCATCAGAGCCAGCGGGCCTTCCCCTGAGTGCCAGGAACACACTGAAGGGACGGGAGAGGTGGAGGCAGAAATCAGTGAGACTATTTTTTAAAGCTTTGGGCTCTTCTCAGAGAGCATAATAATTTGAGCAAATTGTCCAAAGAGTGAGACAGATGAGAAAAGGAGCTTAATTACTGTGGATAAGTTCTTAGAGTACTTTTATTACAAAGGGGGTCTGGGCGGAGGTAGGCTTTAAAAGTCAAGTCTAAAAATTAAAAATAAATCTTGCACATTTCCACGGCTATTTCCTGTGCTCTAACAGGATAACCAAGGCTTTGAAAACCCACAGCCCTGGAGCTACCCCCCACCAGCCTCCTGAGACGGCCCTGAAATGTGACCAGGCTGCCCCCAGAATGGAGTTTTGTGCTCAGTGTCTGGCAAAGAAGCGAAAGGCTCTTTTACCCTCACACCCATCCTTTAGTCTGGACAACCGTAAAACTGCCTTAAATCGTGTCGGTGAATGGCACCCCTAAAGGGAGCTGAACTGCAGGCTGTATAAGACGGTGTGGAAACCTGTGGCAGTGAAAGAGAAGCATGTAAGAGGCACTGTTGATTCAGCTGAGCAAAGAAGAGGAAATACCCTATGCTGCCTCCCTTCCTGTCCCTTCCCGTCCCGGCCTGCTTAGAGAACTCGAGAGTCCACTAATAGCAAGGAGAGGAAAGAACTGCCATCCCCAAAACGAGTTTGGTAATGCTGTGGCTCTCACTCTCCTGGAGTAGGTTTCCCCAGCTTCAGCCTGGTGGCATCTCCTGCACGTTAGAGTTACTCAAATGCAACTATTCAAAGCAATTTCTCAACACTCCCTGGCATAAGCCACCTTCACTTGTCACCTAATAGCTGCTATAGCCTCCCAATGTCTCCCAGCTTCAACCTTCACCCTTGCCCTACTGTCTCTTGTCCCCACAGCTGCCAAGTGACCCTTTCAAAGCAGAGTCATATCAAGTTACTCCTCCGCTGAGCACCCACCAGGGGCATCTCATCTCACACCGAGTACCAGTCACAGTTCTTCCGAGCTCCCGTTAGTGCTCGGATCTCACCTCCACTAACTCTCCTACTGGCTCACGGTGCCTCAGCCATTCTGATGCATACCAGCCTCTTTACTATTCCATAAAGACCTTTGCATTCACTCTACTCGTAAACTGTGTATGCCCAATCTCCCTCAGCTCCCGTAGATATTTGCTTGAATCTTCCCTTCTCAGTGAGACCCAAAGGCTCCATCTAACACTGGGCCCTGCTGCCTCCTTCCTACCTTACTTTCTTACTTTTCCTCATAGCACATGCCATTCCCACCTCCCAACATACTGTATTATTATTATTCAGCTGCGCAAATAATCTGTATTATCGTATTTGTCTCCCCCACTAGAATATAGGTTCAACAAAGGCAGAAGGTTTTTTTCCATGGGAGAAAAGGTAGACTTTTCCCCCCACTGTCCAGAAAAGTGCCTGGTACATAGTAGATGCTTAAAAATATTTGTTGCATCAGCAAAACCATCATTCAAATGTGAAGGAGAAATACTTTCTAAGATCCTCAAGTTTTGCTTATCTTAGAAAGTATTTCTAAGATAGTACAAATTATTTGCTCAGCTGAATAATAGTACAAATTATTTGCTCAGCTGAATAATAATAATCCAGTAAGTTGGGAGGTGGAATCACCTTGCAAGAAATGTGCAAAGAAGTTCTTCAGAGAGAAGGGAAATGATAGAGGTCAGAAACTCAGATCTATGTAAAGAAAAGTGCATTAGAGGAGAAGGAAATGAAGGCACTAATTTAGGAGCTGTGACTATAGCAAAACAAAAACAGGCTTCACCAAGTGCCTGGCTTGGAGGCGTTAACTTTCCATAATCACCTCCTGCTGATTACCTGCTAGATACAGCTACTTTATGGATTAATTAATACCGCAGGAGCTTTCAGATGCTTTGAATACAAACCCTTCACTGTTGGGGATCAAACATACAACTTTAAAAGATTTGTTCTTCCCCTAGGAAGAATGCATTTGGGATTCAAGAATCTGTGAAAAATATTTTTTAAAAAATTAAAAACAGGCTTGTTGAGGTGGATCACATATGTAATCACAGTAGTTTGGAAGGCTGAGGTGGGAGGATAGCTTGAGTCCAGGAGTTCAAGATCAGCCTGGACAACATAATAAGACCCCCATCTGTACAAAATCTTTAAAAATTTGCTGAGTATGATGGCTGATGCCTGTAGTCCCAGCCACGGGAGGCTGAGGGTCACTTGAGCCCAGGAGTTTGCGGCTGCAGTCAGCTACTGCTGCACTGCACTCCCGCCTGGGTGGCAGAGCAAGACTCTGTCTCTTAAAAACAAATTAAAAGATCACTAGAAGAAGTATTGTTGCTTCATAAAGAAATGAAAAAGCAATTGTTGGTCAGGTGTGGTGGCTCACGCCTGCACTTTGGGGAGGCCGAAATGGGAGGTGGGTGGATCACCCAAAGTCAGGAGTTCGAGACCACCTTGGCCAACATAGTGAAACTCCATCTCTAATAAAAATACAAAAATAAGCTGACCGTGGTGGCGGGCGCCTGTAATCCCAACTACTACTTGATCGCTTGAACCTGGGAGGTGGAGGCTGCACTCCAGCCTGGAAGACAAGAGTGAAACTTCATCTTTAAAAAAAAAAAATTGTTAAATGAACGCATGAAGAGGTTTGCTTTACCTGCTGGAGAATAGATGCTGTTGGGCTGAGAACAATAATCCCAAATTTTGTTACACATTGGAATCCCCTGGAGATCTTTCCAAATAGTAATGCTAGCCGGGTGTGGTGGCTCACATGCCTGTAATCCCAGCATTTTCTAAAGCCAAAATGGGTGGATCACTTGAGGCCAGGAGTTCCAGCTAAGCCTGGCCAACATGGTGAAACCCCATGTCTACTAAAAATTAGCTGGGCATGGTGGCATGTGCCTGTAATCCCAGCTACTCGGGAAGCTGAGGCAGGAGAATCACTTGAACCTAGGAAGCAGAGGTTGCGGTGAGCCAGGATTGTGCCATTGCCCTCCAGTCTGGGCGACAAGAGTGAAACTCTGTCTTAAAAACAAAACAAACAAACAAAAAAACGAATGCTTGGCTTCCACCTCTGATATTGTGATTTAGTTATTGAGAGGCATAACCTGGGCATAAGGATTGTTTTAAAAGCACTCTGGGTGATCCTAACATGAAGCAAAGTTTGGCTAAAAGGTCCACAGGGTGGCAGCCACAGTAGGGCCCATAGTAGTGTTTGCACTGCCCTTTACATCTCTCAGGACCTCGGCATCCTATGCAGCTAGCGGTCCCACTAGGCAGCAGGAGCCTTTCTCGTCCTTGTGTCTGCTCTAGGACCTCAGCACACAGCAATAGAGTGACACACTAAGCCCTACTCTGCACCAAAATGCTAACTTCTTATTAGAGAGAAGAGGAGAAACAACCTCTCATGCTTTATACACAGAACCCAGAGACAAGCTTGTAAGTCAAACTAAAACTGAAATAGGATGTGTGCTCGGGCCAACACTATGCTGTGGAATGTGTATCCTAAAAGGGAATTCAGCTGAGCTGGTGGGACACTTCTCACCCACCTCGCAGCAGAACTGATAGAGGTGATGTGGTAGGCATCCCTCCTGAAGCCCAGGACTCGAAGCCAAGGATGCTGAGGATGGGGAAGTCTTTTCAGATGGAGGAGAATAGTTTTTAGAGAGTCCCACAGTCTATTCGTAGCAAATGGGACTTTGAGGTCTCCTAATCTGGTCTTGCAGTTGGGATCTTTGAGGACTACCGGGGTGCTGACTTGCCCAGGATCACACAGCCAGCCATTATAAAAGCCAGGCCAGAACTCCAGCCAAGGTGGGGCCTGGAAACTTCCCTAATTAATTTAGAACAAGGGGCAGATAATGTTGTATTGTATTTTTCTCGTGGGAGGAATTAGATAAGGAAGAATTCGCAAATTAGAAAAAGCAAGCCTAGAGAAAAGAACGAAGAACATGATTCTCTTGTTAACGCCACACCCGGCCCTCCCCAGGTGTGATGTGTTAATTTAACAAAAACACGATTCTCTTGTTAAATTAACAAACATCACCCCAGCTTCCACTTACAGCCCTGTCCGCTGAAAACTGTCATTTCCTAGCAGTGCTTAAAACAAAGACGCTAGGTAATTCCCCAGGGACTCCCCGGCAAGCTGCTGGGCCCACTTACCCCGCCGCACAGCAGACATCAGCTGTACTCCCTCTTCTGCTCTGAAAGGACCTTTGGCTGCAGTGCCGCCGCTCATTCAAGTGACTGAGATTCTCTCTAAGGCGCCCTCCTCCTCCCTCCTTCTCCCGCACAGCCATCTGGATGCATTGAAGGACGGAGCCCCAGCCTTATCCTAAAGAAAGCCACCGCTCTGACAAGGCAATCCGGGAGCCTTTCCCTAGCCATTTAAAATGAAACTCACCGTTCTTGCTCCCGTGAGCTGTAGCAGATAATCCTGAATCTCGTTAGTGTGCTTGGTGGCTGTGATATCGACAAATTCCAGAAGCCCTTGTTTGATGGGCAATTGACTGAGGATCTCCTGGGCCTTCCTGCAGTAAGGGCAGGTGGGCTTGATGAACACAACCACCTTCCCAGGCTGGATTTTGCAGTTGACAAACTCTTGAGCCATGCCGCCTGCCTTGCGGTCTCCCGAGAAAAACGCTCAGTAGCAGGTATTGCTTGGGGTATTGAGCCCTGACCCAGCCAGCTGGCTCCTATTAAATAAGGAACCTCCCTGGAGGCGGAGTTTGCCTGGTAGCTCGCTCGAGTTTTAAAGGGACAGCTTCAAAGACATTTCGTCTGGAATACTTCACGAGTTAGCGATGCCTAGGAATGCAATACTTGCTATTCAATCATTGGTAGCTATGAAAGACACTCTGGGGTCCGGGCGCGGTGGCTCACGCCTATAATCCCAGCACTTTGGGAGGCTGAGGTGGGCGGATCACAAGGTCAGAAGTTCGAGACCAGCCTGGCCAATATGGTGAAACCCCCGTCTCTACTGAAAGTACAAAAAAATTAGCCGATCATGGTGGCATAAGCCTGTGATCCCAGTTACTCGGGAGGCTGAGGCAAGAGAATTGCTTGAACCCGGGAGGTGTAGGTTGCATGAGCCAAGATCACACCACTGCACTCCAGCCTGGGTGACAGAGTGAGATTGCCACAAAAAAAGAAAAGAAAAAGATTGGGAGTGCCTGCCCATTAGCAATGATCAGTTAAATCACCTCTGGGGAAGCATAAAGTGTGTACTCATGCAGGGGCTGAGGAGGCAGTGAGCTCTTAAAGCAAAGTCTTGTTTTCCTTCTAGGAGATTGTATTTTAAAATGTAAACAGAATCACTTAAGGAACAGAGCACTTTGAAATCTCTTTGGAGGAAGTGAAATTGACACTGTGACTTTGCACTCCTTAGGAAGGTTGCCCTCAGGGTGTTTTGCCAGGACTGTATGGTGGGTATCTGTTGTTGTGAGCTTTTTGATGGAATTCATTCTCAGTATTTAGAAATCTGGAGGTCTTACCAAACAACTGGACTTGCAACTTACCTCTGAAAAGCCAAGCTGGGCAATACAGAGCTTGCACCCGTTAGTGGCAGCTGCTGGGGCTGACAGCTGTTGTCCCCTCTGGATAGGGCAAGTCATGGCTTTGGTTTGCCACAGGTCCCAATGAACAGGCCCATGCCTTTGAGACACCAGCTACACCCCACAACCATTTGAGCTGGTGACCCTTGAACAGCGGTTTAGTATGGAGGCAAATTCCAGCACAATCCCTGATAAGAAACTACAGATGAAATCAGAATCTTTTTTTTGTGGCTCACCCTCTGTTTTTACTGTTTGTGAGTGGAAGTGACTCTCATCATTACTAAATTAAAATGGCAATATGAGAAAGTCAGATTCTGAGTCACCAAGAGGGAGCTAAGTGACAGCTCGGTCCAGAGAAAGGCTGTGGCAGGGCTGGAAGGCCACTCGGAGGCTCAGGGCTCTGGACTTCCCACTTTCCTCCAGAGTAGGCTCCACCACCCAGTCTGAGCCTCCTGTCTTTTTCCTTCTTTTCCCTCAAAACCCTGTGTCCAGGCTTTTCCCAGAGGCCCCCGCCAGGGGTCTGGGGTCTCTTTCAGGGCCCTCAGGGCTGCTGCCTTGTTTTCCTCAGCCTGAAGTTTATCAGCACGGCTTGTACCTGCTTCTCCCTCTGAGCCTTTCTCTTCTCCGGATCTGTTGCTGGTTCCTCCCTTCCTGCTGCCTCTTCCTCCGCCTGCCACTGTGTTCAAGTTAAAAGCCACCACCAGCACCACCACTTTCTATTTCCTGCTTTCCTGCGTCTGCCCTTTCATGAAATTTACTGTCTGTACTTTTCTCACCTCCCATTCTCTCATTTCATAGCAATCTGACCTTGTCAGCCATTCTGCTGAAACTCTTTGGCTGACACCAATCATGTTGCCAAATCTTCATTTAGCTAGGCATCCTCACCTTTTGCAAATTAGTCACCTGCTCCAAATCTAGGGCAGAGGCTGGGATCCAGGGAGACTATTATCTGCCTCTCAATCAGTTCCAGGGACTGCCTGGTGTCTGAATCCTTAGGACAGACAGCCAGAAGGCATGAGCTAAAGAAGGCCTTTCTTTGTGAGGCTCCATATGGGACATGGGACACAAAGAGACGGCAAAGAGGAAGTGTCCTCTCCATTTCTGAACTGCTTCAACTCAGTAGCAAATGACAAGCATAGAAGTTTCTGCTGCATTGCACAGCAGTTACTCAAACCCAGCATGGATATCAGGGCCTCTCAATGGGAAGCTGCCAAGGGGCTGCAGATGCCTCAAGCACTGAGGATAGATAGAGGGTGTACGTGTGGAATAGCACATGTGGACTCTCCTTTGGCTTGAGTGAGACATCCCCAGGAGCTCCCAGAAAATACTCCTTGGAGGGTGGGAAGTAAGGGCATTTTTTAGGAAAGACTGAGTCCTGCTGAGCAGATGGCTGGCAACAAGCTAGAGAAATATGGGTGGTTACTGTTAATGTGATCTCATTTGTACTCACAGGCTGATGAGGGCTGCAAAAAATGTGGCCACAAATGAACATTCTTCAGATTTTTTCTTTACTTGCCCCCTGTGCAGGGTCTGACCTTGTAGATCACTGCAGGCCTCTGGAAGTCTCCATTTCCCAATGCCCATTGTAGCATGGTCTTTTTGCTCTTTCTATCTGGATATTGTCTCAGTCTCTTTGTTAAGAATTCTGCTTACACGTATGGTCTATCTTAGGGCTTGATCTTCTCACTGTGTGTATACACCCACTCCTTGAAAGGTCATAGCTCCATGCATGGCTCCATCGGTCACCTTTTTACTGATGAGTATCACATTTTTTCCCTTACCTGGAACTCTCTCCTAAGCCTCAGGGATGGGTATCTCATCTACTGAAAAGATCCACTTAGGGATTCCTTAGGCCTCTCAGCCTCCAGGGAACCAAAACTGAATCTCCCCCGAAGCCACGCTCTTTCCTCCAGGCTGTTCATGGAGCCTGCACGCACCTTCATCTACCTTGTTGGCCATGGTGGAAACCTGGCAGGCATGTGGGCTGCCCTCTGCTTCCACCTACACAGAGTGGCCAAACCCTACCAAGTTTGCCCCCGAATGCCACCCTGGTCTGACTGTTCTGAACACTTGACTGCCCCGGCTGGTCCAGCCCTCATTAGCTCTTCATTCGCTCTTGCAGCACCTCTCCCCTGGCCTCACTGCCTAGTCCACACTGCTGCTGGTGTGATCTTTAAAAACACGGGACCTATCTTGTTCCCTCTTAAAACTAGTGCATGTTTCCCCAGGACGAAATCCAGATTTCCTTATGGGGATTCGGCCCTGTGTGATGAGTCTTCCCTGCCTTGTTCACCATACCCCAGCCTCCCTGCAATGTTTTGATAGAGACAAGAGACAGCCAAGGGTCGCTGGTGAAACCCCCGCTCCAAACCTAAAACAGCCTGAAGGCCAAAAAACTGGGCTGCTGTCCCAGCACCTTCGGAGGTCGAGGTGGGTGGATCACCTGAAGTCGCTTGACCAACATGGTGAAACCCCATCTCTACTAAAAATACAAAAAATTAGCCAGGCGTGGTGGCGGGTGCCTGTAATCCCAGCTACTTGGGAGGCTGAGGCAGGAGAATCTCTTGAACTCGGGAGGCGGAAGTTGCAGTGAGCTGAGATTGTGCCATTGCACTCCAGCCTAGGCAACAAGAGTGAAACTGTCTCAAAACCAAACCAAAACAAAACAAAAACAAAAAACTGGACAGCTGGTTCCAGATGAAGCCCGCCTTTTCCCGACCGATTCTTTCTCAATAATGCCCACCTGTGCACTAGCAGGATGCCATGGGGCCTCGGACGTTTGCTTGGCTTGCAGTGGGAGGGGCCTGGCCCCTCCCGTTCTTGTGTGCTGACCTGGGACTCAATCTGTGAGGCGGGAAACCTGCTAGCAGGACTCTCTCTCGCTTTGCTGAGTTCTTTTTCCTTTTTCCTTTTCATCCAATAAATTCTATTTTCCTCACCCTTCTATGTGTCTGCGAGCCTAACCTTTCCTGGTCACGTGACAAGAGCCCAGTTTTACCTGAGCTAAGGGGAACGTTCTGCAGCAATTTCTCCTTTCCTCCAGCTTGGACTCTGAGCTGTATCCTCGCTGCCACCACTCACAGCTTCCCGGCTTTGGACCCACGGCTCCCTGTGCCCAGGGTGCCCTTCCTCTTGTTCCTGTATGGCTGACTCCTGCTGGCCCAAAGGGACCCAGATCAGGAGGGTGTGTTAGCACCTCAAGGAGTTACCCCAGCACACACAGCTCTTTCCCCTATGGGATTGGGTGCCCCTCCGTGGAGCTCGAATGTCATAGCACAACCTGATCCAACACATTTCATAGTTCCTTTGTATTAATTTTCTGTCACCTACAGTGAGTTCCTTGAGGGCAGGGAAAGGGCTTTTATCTCTGTAATACCAGAGCTCGGCAGATACACACTGGTCCTTATCTACCCATCCATCAAACAAACATGTATTAATCAACTACTCTCAGCCATTCACAAACATCCATCATACAGCCAAAGGTCTGAGGAGTTTATAGTCTAGTGGGCAATATAAACATGGAAAATGGACACGAGAAGTGTTAGAAAGTATTCTAGGCATGGAAGCGTGTATGGGTATTCAGTTAACCAAAGGGAGCAGTCACTCTCACCTGGAGGGTGGCTGGGGAAAGGGCCGTCGTAAAGGAGAACTGGGCTGAATCTTGAGGGATAGGAGAAGCTTGTGAGTACATAAGGAAGGGAAGGCATTGCAGGCAGAGGAGGTAGGAAGAGGAAGAACAGCATAAACGGTGATCAGCCTTGACTGTGGATAGAGCATTGGGAGTTTGAGTGGGGAGAGGAGAGAGACAGCTGGAGACCAGGCCAGAGAATAGGGAACCTTTACCACACTGCAAAGGGAGGATTTCACATCCAGGCACCAAGGAGCTGGAACAGGTACACTTTACCCATGGAGAGATTTGTAGTCAAACGTTTGATGTATTAATGACTGTGTCACATCTCCGATGTCACACAATGAGTTCCTAAATGCAGTTTGATCACAGAAGGGCTCTAATGAGTGGCAGGAATGCTTTGGAGCTGGCAAACCTGTCAGGGTTCCTCTGTGGTCACCCTGGGACCAGTCCTAACCCCTGGAGCCATGTGTGGAACCATGTCCTTTCAAGGAGTGGCTGTGTACCCAGTGAGAAGATCAAGCCCCAAGACAGACCATACGTGCAAGCAAAATTCTTAACAAAGAGATTGAGATAATATCCAGCTAGAAAGAGCAAAAAGATCATGCTACCATGGGCATTGGGAAATGGCTGGAAGTG